AAAAAAAAAAAAAAAAAAAAAAAAAAGAAAAAAAGAAAGAAAAAAAAAAATAAAGTATAAGTGATAAAAATAATATAATTATAAAAAATATATTTTTTTAAAATATATAATACCTAACACAAGCAGCTTGTTGCAAACCATGTTCTATCATACCAGGATACAATGAAAGTAATGTTAATATTGCAGCGCATAATGGTTGAACAGGTGATTGATAAAAAACTATTCTTTTTTCTAACAAAAGTAGTTTAAACAATAAAAGAACTTTGTGACGAAATTGTAATATGAAATCTCTTGCAGACAATCCTATAAACATTAAATTCTTTTATATAAAAAATATTTATTCAAACTATTTTCATTCACATTAAAAATGCAATAATTCATAATTACCAACAAATATTTGCGGTGGTATTTGACTCTCACAACTCATACAAGAATTGAGATGATGATAAGTATCTTCTAATAATGACACTTTACTAAAGTCACCTTCTTCAAAGTATGCATGCGTTATCAAAGCCATTTTTACTTGAATATGACCATATAATGGTAAGGTACTTAAAACACAAACAGACTTTTGAACCGTACCTCTTGTTATGTCGGATGTACGATTTTTTAATTTCTGAAAATAAATAAATATTCTCCATTTATTCAGAATAAATACTTAAATAATATATTTTTCATAAAATTATGATTATAAAAGATGAATTTTTAATTTGCATAATTTCCAAGAAAAAAAAACTTTTTTTACAAATAAGGGATACAAATGTTTTATCATAAAATATATTTTTTCATAAAACTTATGATCAAATTTAGAAATTATTATTTCGAGATATAAAAGTTATTATTTTATCGCAGACAATCAATTTGTTTCACTTCAAAAATTATAATATACGTATAGGATTATATTCCGTTTCTTCCTTCAATTTTTTAACATAGAAAAAAAATTATTTCTCGTATAAAAATGTATTCATTTTTCAAATGTAAGTAAAATTTGTTCTCAAAATAAAATCTTTATAAATATCTTATACAATTAATTTTGATATTTGATTA